TGATCCTTGAAATAAAGTGACCAGAGAGAACTTTGAAGTAATACCGGTCAAAGGAAGTATGGTGATTGATTACTATACCGGTCGGGTATCCTATGATGGCGTTCTAAGAGGCAAAGATCAAAGTATCAATCAACAAGCAAGCAGATATGAAAGATTAACCGGGTAGGGAAATTAAGCATTGCATTAAAGTAGAACAAAATAGTTAAGTGTTTTACAACTACACCGGGCATTCCCGGGGAAATGAGTTTGAAGTTTTGCCAAAATAATTCAACCGGTCGCAGTCGGGAAGATTACTCAAGAGGAAAGGGAGGCGCAGGCTCTTCGTCCGGGATGGGGGCCAGATCGTATGATTCAGCATTGAAGTCCGGATCCCGATCGGCAAGGATCGCATGGGTGGCCTCGCGATCTCGTTTTTGGCCGGACATGAAACCGTAGGAGCCGATCTGGGTGATCATCTCTTTCCCTTGCTCCTCCCGGTACAGCAACTTGAAGCCCTCCATTGTCCTTTCCTCAGAGGAAGTAAGCACCCGGGCGGCCTCCACTGTCTGGCCCGACCGGGCAGCTCTTGCTCCTTCACCCACGCCTCCTCCTTCAGGTGGGAGACCTCCCCCATCAGCAGCGAGTTCTCCTCCTTCAGCTGGAGGACCTCCGCGTTCGCCCTACCGGCAACCGCCGAGAGGTTGGCCATCTCGTCAAGTTGCTGGGCGGTCAGGTCTTGAAGCTCCCGGTTGTGGGCTTCAAGTCTCTTCAGCTTTTCCTCCAGCTGAAGTGACCGGGAAGGGGAGTCCTCGGCAAGCTTCCCCAAGGTTTCAGGCGCGACCTCACCCATATGCAAAACCAAACATATCGGTTAGTACGGCAAATAAGTAATAAAACGGAGGAAAGTGTACCGGGCGGATGTTACCTCTTTTAGCTTTCGCCCCATCTTGACCCAGAGCTCCTCTAGCGACTCTGTGGCCGGGACACTTTCTCCCCTCCTCCTCTTTGCCGAGGGGTGGGTAGTGGCGGCGTGCTTGGTTCGGACCTTCCCCTTCCCTTTGTCTAGG